GCATTTTAAGTTACTTGCTTGTATCATTTGGGTAATAGAATGTGTGATACTGTAAATTAATACAATTTATACAAGTTGATCATAATAATTGTTTCTTACTCCAGTTCTCAGATATTGCTACCCTTAACCTGTTCGGATGTCGTATATCGGTATCATTTCAATAATTTTGTTTCCATGTTAGATAGCAAAACATTGTCAATATTATACAATAATTCAATATATCAAAAGATGAATAAAATCACAATGCTACTCTTCAGAACAGCAATTTTGAAGCTGGGGTTTTCCACCTTTTACGCGCTTACCATTTTGTTGTATAGCTGTTAAAGCTCAATAAATAGTTCATAGCGACTCAAACTATCAAACATAATTAAAGACTCGACAAACTGGACTCGTAGCTCAAACAAGTTTTGACGTAGGCTACTTTAGAGCAGGAACTGAATATGACGTCACAAATCGACCCGCAATTGTCCAAGCAAAACGCATACCAAGTCTTATGTTGGTCGTACATTATAAGTTACTTGCTCGCACAGGCACAGATATAGAGGGGGCGAGGGGAGGGGGGCGAGGGGGGGGGGGGGCGAGTAAGCGCAAACGTGAAAAAAGATCACTCAGATCCAGTCCCAAATTACATAATATTATCTGATTTTTTTTTCTGTCAACTCTCACAAAACAGGCGGGATTAACATGCAAGCCTCAAGATTATGTCCCATTTCTTATCCTCTTGTTCACGAGAATTTGCTCCTATCAATGGACTCAAAAGCCATGAAGTTTAGGCCCAGTCCTAAAAAATTAAAAGCTTAATTATATATTACACGTTATCTGAAATTTGTTCGCGCCTATAACGGCGCTCGATTCTATCATACGAGAAGGGGTGATTGATAAGTAGCCTAGTAAGTCTAACACAGAAAGAACAAGAAATTCAAATCAAATGCATTTATTTTTCAACATAGCCCCCCTTCAATGTAATACACTTCTGCCATCGGTGTTGCAGAGCCTTTATTCCAGTTCTGTAGAAGTCTTTGTCTTGGGTGTGTAGAAAATCATCCACAGCGGCAATGAAGTCATCGTCAGACGGGAAATTCCTACCGGAAAGACATTTCTTCAGAGCAGGAAACAGATAGAAGTCCGAGGGAGCTAAATCAGGAGAGTAGGGTGGATGCTGAAGAAGTTGCAAACCACAGTCATGGATTTCTGACATGACAACAGCTGATTTGTACACTGGCGCATTGTCCTGGTGGAAAATCACACCTTTGGTCAGCTTTTCTCGTCTTTTGGTCTTAATTTCTTGCCTCAACTGCCTTATAAGTGCTGCATAGTATCTACCGTTAATTGTTTTACCCTTTTGGAGGTAATCCACCATGAGAACACCCTCAGAATCCCAGAATACTGAGGCCATCACATTTCCTGCCGATGAAACAATCTTTGCCTTCTTTGGGGTCGGCGACGTCACGTGTTTCCACTGTTTTGACTGCTCTTTTGTTTCTGGCTGAAAGTGGTGGACCCAAGTTTCATCCATAGTAACAATTTGTTTTAGGAAGCGGTCAGGATCGGTTTCAAATAAGGCTAGATTCTCTTCTGACATGATGTGTCTTGAGCGCTTTTGATCAGGCGTCAAAAGCTTTGGCACCCATCGTGCTGAAACCTTTGTAATATCCAAAGTTTCAGTGATAATAGAATGAACTCTCTCCTGGCTAATAACAACTACCCCAGCTATGAATCGTTCAGTAACTCGCCGGTCATTCATTATCAGATCATGGATTTTTTGTACCATTTCAGGTGTTGACACAGTTTTTGGTCGACCAGGGCGTGGTTCGTCTTCAATGCTGTCTCGGCCACGCTTGAATTCAGCTGACCACCTTTTAATTGTGGCATATGAAGGAGCATCATCTTCTTATGTCTCAACCATATCATCATGTATGGCTTTCGGTGTTAGACCCTTTTTATGCAGATACTTAATCACAGCTCTCGCCTCGATATGTTCCATTTTCTGATAACAACAGACCCTACTTGATTGTTATGACCTGTCACAACCAAACAGTTTAACCGAATGTGATGAAAGTTTGTGACAGAGCCCGAGGAACATAATAGTGCACGTGCAAAACGTGGTATCATTGTGTTGCACGGTTTCCAAATCGAGGCTCACTACTTATCAATCACCCCTCGTAGCATCATTCTTCCTCCGCTCCTCTGTGGTCTTCTACTATCTAATCACCATCATGGTTATAGTGAACCGGCCAGTTAAAGATACATTATGGGAGATTTTAATAGAGGGTTGACTATTCTTGCTATAACAGTTAAGAAAAAGATGATGAAAGAAGAATATATTGAAAATTTTAGTCAAATTACTTTATTCTGAACAAAGTTATCACCATTGTAATTTTTGACTAAAAATAGGAGTCAACTCTCTCTTCACCGTCTCCGAGAATGGCCGATCGTTTGATTGACAGGCGTTAACTCCACCTACATAATCTCGATTATCAAGTAACGTTTTCAATGGTTGTGGTAACGTTAGCCTATTCGGTTTGAGACGGGGTTGCAATTCAATTCGTATCACATTTATTTTTACTACAAATTAAAAATAAGACTTTTAATATATAGATAAGAAGCGAAAGTTTGAAAGGAATGGACCAAATCAATGAGGCATAATTATAGCCGACTTCTTGTTAGCCTGCGTGTACTCTTGTACTGTAACTGGTAGGCCTACGTAACTCCCGAAGTAGACAAATAGGAAACAGTGATCCAATGGGGCTGCAATTCAACTGGGGTGATGTTAGCTGCGATGTTTATCAATTTCCATAATTTTTCTGTAAACGCAAGTGGGTCTACAGAGTTGATTTTGTGCTTGTTGTGTAAATAAAGATCTAATTTATAATTTATATGACATCTGAAGCCTAAATAAAGACTTGCAATAATCAGATTTAGCTCTAGTTCGTTGGGTGACAGACTGTACACACTTTCTCTTAACTCTTACAAAAAAAGCGGAATTAACAGGCAGATCTCAAGATTCTGTACCATGGACTCTTATTTCTGACCTCAAAAGCCAGGATTTGACTCAAATCCCCCCCCCCCCCCTTCCCTAAGTTTGACAAAAATCAATAACAATCGTAATATGACATGAACTTTATGTCAACTTGAATAAAACTGCTTTTCGGTGAGATAACGATCGGCGAAAAGCTATATCGGCAATTATACGATCTATGTTCTACCGGGGCGCTCAGACAGTGTTATAGCCAGTATTTTGTTGACATTCATTGTGGGGTGGAATTGTACATGGCGCCCTAGATTTGGAACCGCCCCATCCCCTATTCACAGCTTCTAGATCCACTACAGTGCTCGTATCATTAGGGTAACAGAACAACAAGAAGAAATGGGTAGCGCTTGGAGACTTGGGGGCAGTTTCACACAAGTTCGTAACTTTGCGAGAAAAACCTACCTTAAGAAAAAGAATAGAATTAATTACACCGGTTTCACAAAGGCCGACATAATTTTTTTCTTAATTTCGTTACGAATGGTTTATACTTGCGGCATCTACTCCCTCATTCATACTTCTGTAAACATTCTGACAATAAAATGTCCGCATTTATAGCCGTTATGGTTGATTTTATTTTTACCTTTCTTCTATATAGGCTAAGTTGATGAAGAAAATGCTATTATCATGCCATTTGTTTAATTATTTTTGTGTACTACTTCATAATGCGTAACATATATATGATATAGCATACTAACCTTACGCCGTCTGTCTACAAATAGCTCCGTTTGAGAACAGACACTAAGCTAGTTGACCGACATTTTAAGTCCTAAATCGACGATTTTTGTCGAAAATACTAAGTATACATGTACTTCTAGAATTTTGAGAAGTTATTATTCTGCTTTCATTTAATGGAATTGAAAAAGTTTATTTAGGCTTTGTGTATGGCAGATTTGAAACGGAGTACATGTAGAACCACATTACAATACAATACTTATTTTTTGATATGGCGGCCATTCAACAGTATTCAACTATTTAGGCTATATATACCATTTATAAATTTGTTTGTAATGCAATCTAGGCATGTACATATGGAAGTGTATCGCTGGCAATATTAAATGCTCTGCGACAATGTATTTTCCATTGATTATATGTAAAAAGTACAATGTACAAAGTCCTAATACCGATAATGATAATGTCAAAATACCTCTAAGGCAAGAATTAAATGTAAAACGTCAAATGTTAAGTGTTAAATGACAAATGTTTTGTAGGGAAAATGCTTTTTTGACGTGTCTACATTTAACATTTCTCTCATTACATTTTACAATTGCGCTCTGCCACATCCCATTTGTCCTTCACGGTTTCTATAGCAACTTTCGCGCAGCATCAACTTTTTATGCAAATGTAGGATATTACGTTGATGCTGTGTGCCGTCTATGAGACTTGCCATGTTTTTATTTCGCAAAATTCATATATTTTTCATATATATTTAGCCAGGCGTGTCGCTATTTTTTCAAGTGTCCCATTAAGGTGTGCTGTTGGCAAAAAAAAAAGGTGCAGGGACATTTTGTCAAAGATACGTAAAGAATTCCGATTTACGACAGGCTGAGACTTATCGTAGACTTCACGGAAAAAAGTACGATTTTCGCAAGTTTACCTTACGATAAAGTTACGCAAATTTTTCAAATTAAATTGCTTTGAGAAAACTATAGACATTATACTATCCCCAGTTACTGTTCCAAATATTAACTCGAAACTTGAGAATAAGAATCCCTATTCTTGAGTAGGGTAGGGTGGGGTACTGTTCCAATATAAATATAACATCTGTAAATAAGTATACATATACTGACATTACAGTGGGTTTATTAATCAATGATATACACTTTGTAAATTATATACAGTGAGGAAGAGGAGGGGGGGGGGGGCTAAGCCACTCTTAGACTCGAATTTAGGGGGTGCGAGGCATATAAATCGAACATGATTTTTGTCCAGTAGCAAATAAAGAAAGAAGAACAAAGGGAAAAACAACTCGGGCAGTATATTAATATATTCCATTTCGGCCGATACAAATATCTATAAAACGCATAAAGAAATATTTCAACTTAACCTGTACGATTCTTACATAGGTCACATATTAATTTGTAATGTATTTTGATTGTATTTACGAATTATTTCCCAGTAAAAAGAGGCCAATGAAATTTGTTTCGGGTGTACGCGCAATGTAATTCAGATTAGTCACCATGACGCCAATCTCATCTCCTGCAATCATTTCAAAAGTACCGGAAACGAAGCTGCTGCTGAAGTAGACCTCACCTTTCTTGACGCGTGTTTGATGCTCGTTCCGAAGAAGTTCCTCTTGACCGGTCTGTTTCGGACACGATTGTCGAAATCGGACGACTTGGTGGGATAATTTAAAATTTGTGTTCATTGGCTGATGGTAATTTGTACCGGGAATAAGCTTGAAATAAATTTGACTATACAAAAAGTAGGTCCCCTTAGTTTTGATAACGAGTTTATGTGGACCTATGTTAATTCCATCATAGTGAGACAGCGACCTCGATTTAAACAGTTTCGCTGAAAAAATAAAATAAAATAAATATTATAAAAAGTTACAAAGAGGCGAAACCGCTTTCATCTATGACAAATTAAGTACTACGAGGTGGGGAAGCCCAATTCCATTGAACTGTGGTAATATGCCGATAAGTTTATGTAGTCGATGATCATATCCCATGCCCGTTTTTCCTTCGAACTCCAAAGGTCAGGATTTTTTTTCAGACTTTGCTGCTGGGACTATTTCAATTAAGCTTATTTATTAAGGACTAGCAGGATACCCGGCTTCGCTCGGGGGTCATAACTCCGAAACCGGAAGTGGTAGACTAACGCCACCTGGACTATGTTACTCCCCGGTCCGAGCTACCCCTATACCCCAAATTTCAGACTCGGGGCAGACCTAGTGTAGCCGCCAACCCCGAACAGACCGCTTCGCTCGGGGGTCATAACTCCGAAACCGGAAGTGGTAGACTAACGCCACCTGGCCTATGTTACTCCCAATCCGAGCTCCCCCTATACCCCAAATTTCAGACTCGGGGCAGACCTAGTGTAGCCGCCAACCCCGAACAGACAGACTTCGCTCGGGGGTCATAACTCCGGAACCGCAAGTGGTAGACTAACGCCACCTGGCCTATGTTACTCCCCGGTCCGAGCTACCCCTATACCCCAAATTTCAGACTCGGGTCAGACCTAGTGTAGCCGCCAACCCCGAACAGACCGGCTTCGCTCGGGGGTCATAACTCCGAAACCAGAAGTGGTAGACTAACGCCACCTGGCCCATGTTACTCCCCGGTCCGAGCTACCCCTATACCCCAAATTTCAGACTCGGGGCAGACCTAGTGTAGCCGCCAACCCCGAACAGACCGGCTTCGCTCGGGGGTCATAACTCCGAAACCAGAAGTGGTAGACTAACGCCACCTGGCCCATGTTACTCCCCGGTCCGAGCTACCCCTATACCCCAAATTTCAGACTCGGGGCAGATGTAGCCGTCAACCCCGAACAGACAGACTTCGCTCGGGGGTCATAACTCCGAAACCGGAAGTGGTAGACTAACGCCTACTGGCCTATACTACTCCTCGGTCCGAGCTACCCCTATACCCCAAATTTCAGACTCGGGGCAGACCTAGTGTAGCCGCCAACCCCGAACAGACCGGCTTCGCTCGGGAGTCATAACTCCGAAACCGGAAGTGGTAGACTAACGCCACCTGGCCTATGTTACTCCCCGGTCCGAGCTAACCCTATACCCCAAATTTCAGACTCGGGGCAGACCTAGTGTAGCCGCCAACCCCGAACAGACAGACAGACAGACAGACAAACGACAGTCACAAATATATATATAGATGGACGCTATCGAATGTACACTCATACATCATTTAAATGCAGAGTTGTTTCCCGTGTCATCAAAACCATGTAATCGTTCTCAGAGTCAGGGTTTTTGTATTAAAATGAAATGGAGTTTAACGCCCGACTGTTCTGCTCCGGACGGCGGCACTATGGCCTATACTCTTATATCGAATCCAAATGTCAAGCGTTCTTTTACGTGCACGGTCATGTGTACAAGGGACCTCGGGTTTTCGTCCAATTCGAACGACTATACGCTGTTCCTTGCCAGGCACTCCGTCCTGCACCACTAACAGGGGGAAACCATGCCGTAAAATCCCGATGACCTTTCTCAGTCAACACAGAGATCGAACGTGGAACCTCTAGGTTAGCGAACCACCGTGGCTCCCTTTTTATTTTGAACTGTTCTACTTATTATTTTGGGGGCTATTAAAGTCTGGGATTTGTGACTGGAAGATTCAGAATTTGAATCAGGGTTCAACCCCATTTTTTTACTAAGAATCGGAGAGCGGGAAGACAGACCCGATTAGTAGGCAATACCTGTATTGGCTATTGATACATCACGAGCATCTATTAATACATGCGCACTGACCGCATTTCCCTCCAATAAATTATTCGTGAGATTGTCATAATCTGTAAAATATAAATATGTAAGGTTTTATAGCGCAGTTATTTCCAATAAAAATATGTCAAATTTGGTATATATTGAAACTAGAGACACTAAATCTACTAGATAACTAATGGTTTCGATGTACATGAAAAACACGCATGACGCGTCCACAAGACAAAAATGTATGAGTTTAGCTACTTACTAACGACAGTGAGAACATTGAAAGACTTAAACATCCAGTAGGCTCTGCCATTAAACAACGGGAAAGAAATTGGCAGAGGACACCAAGAATTTACTAAGGCATCGATATTCATGGAAAATGGAGTGCGACTGACACTAAATACATTAGTTCAATATATCAATTAAAACCTTTAATATTTATTTCTAGATTTTACATCTGGCATCACAAGATATTTACAAAGTTAGTTCGTATATTGGTCGAAATTTTAACTTATGTATGGTGTTTTTTGATGCGAAAGAAGGCAAAAAATATTAATAGAAAACTAATTTTCTTTTTACTTACATTTATCCACATAAGTTTTTGTCTTGTTATCAATAACCTAGAAAATGAAATTTTAATATAAAACGCCTCAAGCTTTTTTTTAAGTTTCAGTTAAAGTTGGGAGTTCAGTGAAAATTGGAACACATTTAATCTCATCCCACCTCGATCGTCTATATGCTTTTGCGGCCTACATAGCAACTCTTATTTAGAATTCTTCCAACCACTTATGGTTCTTTTATATCCATGCCAAAGTATACAAGGAACCTTTGTGTTGTTTCTTCCCCCTTGAACGAGGGGGGGGGTGGGGTGGATGGCCGAATGGTTAGCACGTGCGCGCTGTATCATAGGCTCTGTCATTGAGTCAACTGGCGTGGTTTCGATTCCCCGGTTGTACGTGACAAGGAGTAGGGTCGTCTGTCCATCCTCATGGGTTTTCTCCGGGTCCTCCGGTTTCCATCGATTGCTAAAGACCCCTACGCGCAAGCGAATTATTGAAATAAAATTAAACCATGTTTTAGTCCCGAAATGACCTGGTTTGTGTCGAGTGAACGTTAAAATGCCCCATTTCTCTCTCTCTCCCACTTGAACGATCAGACGCTGTCATTTGCCAGCCAGGCCCTCCGTCACACATCACTGACAAGAGGAAACAGCGCTGGAAGATCTCTATGATTAAACCCGGATCCCTTAGTTACTGACCCACCGTGGCTCCTTGCATAAACTACTATTAGGTCTTCGTGTGAAATAGCTGAAATGTGGTCACAAATTCTTTTAACTTAATTAGTTTGCTGTAAAATACAGTACCTACCCAATTTAGTATTATCTGCATTTGTTGTGGAGTGCTAGCACAATACATAAATTGATCATCATTCACCTCTTTACTTAACTTTTCAATTTCACTTTCTTGGTCTGGAAATGGGGAGAGTTTCAGGTCAGTGGTTGTAAAACAAATTTTTCCATCATCTTGATTTTCGGATAGACTGATATCAAGCTTTATACAAAGTACTGCAGACAGTATAGATGCAGAAATACTCAGAAGTATGGTGACTCCCAATAGTACACAGCATGTGTTATGACATCTGCAACACTCTCTTCTCTCGACAGTCAAGCGTCTCTCTCGATCTGAACCTAAAGTTATCGAATTCTGATCACGGTAGTGCGACATAACTGAAAACGAAACGAAAATGAAATGAATGATATTTTAACATCCTGTATTATGTTGTCGCCCTTGTCTGTCCCACTCGGCAAACCTCGGCAGATTCCGGTACCCTACATCTAACCTCGGCTGTATGATAGTAATTGATATGTACCTACGCCCATACATTTGCGATGCGGTTACCGGTTTACTTTAACAGGAAAACGTGCCGCTTTTACAAAAAAGTTAAAAAATGTCGTCTTTTGTCGAAGGTATATAACTAAACGAGCAGAGATATTGTCTCAAGGCTGCTGGTTTGATATAATTCCCTGGTAATTCCCCAAACCCAATGCCAAACTTGACGTTTGTTGATATAATACACTCTCCACAGAAGTCTCCATGGGCGCAGCCATTTTTCATCCGGGACCTTTAAAATAGTTCCAATATGGCGGATTTCGTCATACAGCCGAGATTAGATGTGTAGAATCTGTCGAGGTTTGCCGAGTGTGTCTGTCCGTGTATCCGTGCGTCCGTCCATGTCCGTTCACATTTTGTTTGTAGACCTTCTAGCCTACAGGTCATAATTTGTTTTTCCAATTTTGACGAATTTGAAATATAGGTTTATATCCCAAAGATCTCTGTTCCTTTCGATATTGGCATATTTTTGGCGGATTCTTGTTCCGATTTGGTATTAGGTTCATAAAAGGACGAACCCTATCGATTGTCAGCGTTCTTCGATATGCCATTCCAGGGTTACCCTCACCCCCTACTGAAACCCGTATCAACGCAATAGAGGCCATAGTTTGAACGGATTCTTCCCAAATTCGAGAGGATGCACCCTATCGATATTAAGCGTTCCGCGACTGTCTATCTGGAGTCAGGCAGTGGGCAAAAATGTCAAGGTATCACTAACTGACGGCTTATTGTCTGCTAGTTCAGCTCTGGTCGTAGGTCTCATAACACTCGCCCTAAGTGAAATGAAATGAAATGGGGTTTAACGTCGTACTGTTCTGCTCTGAATTGGGCTAATGAAGACGGGCATACGCCATACAGTGTGCTAAGAGGGAAATTTTGCCCGGACAGCGACATTACGGCCTACTCTTATATCGAATTCAAACTGTCAAGGGATCTTTTACGTGCACGCCAATGTGTACACGGGACCTCGGTTTTTCGTCTCAACCGAATAACTAGACAGCTGCCCTTGTCAGGCCCTCCGTCCTGCATCACTGACAAGGGGGAACCACGCCGGAAAATCTGGGTGAACTTTCTTGGCTAATGCAGGGATCGAACATCCGACCTCCAGGCTAGCGAGCCAGCGTCTCACCCACTTATCCACAAGTAATAAGTAATTCCTGATTCACAAACGACGAAATAATAATAATTAAACGTGTAGAATTGACTAAGCAGGCGTAAACGACAATGGTTCAATTTGGACTGTTCGGGTATTTCACCGTACGTAACTAACGTACGGAAATTCAATGGTAGCTGGCTTTTTTTCGCTTCTCTGCAGGTAGGGTGAGTCTGTCGTTCAGATTGCTATTTCACATGCCCACCTGCAGATTTCGTCATTGGTCAGGAGATGTAAACAGGGCTAACCGGAGACGAGCACGTGCTGGGATCTCCACCTTACCTAAGCAACCAATTCTCGAACACATATCAATTGTCAAAAGAGTTGAAGCGATAGGAATGGTGTACGAAAAACATTTTAAAGGACAGTCAGCAAATTTAAGTATCGGGGCATTTGCACCAATAGCCCCGCCATTCCGGTGCCCCTGAACCAGTCACTTTTGACTCGTAGTCCGCTTACGGCGCTTATAGTTCTGCAGGACGGTGTCTATGATTCTCTCTAAAATGGCGAATGACGAACGCCAAAAAATAGGAATAATACGACTTGATCATCGAGATTACTTTATTTCCACGTATTTTTTATTCTGTGCTAAACTATAGAATTGTCGGAGAATTTACAACGAAATGAAATACTCTTTGCATTTATTAAAGATGTGTCTTCTCACTCGGCAAACCTCAGCAGATTCAAGTACCCTACATCTAGCCTCGGCTGTATGACGAAGTACGCCATTGGAACTACTTTCAAGTTCCCGTATTACCAACGGCGTTTCCCATGACGACGCCTTTGGAAGATATTTTATCATACAAATATTTCAAAGTCTAAAGCTGTTTTTCTTTCAAGTATATCCGATTTTCTTCAAACAAGGACAACTTTGCACTGAAAATTCTACACACGCTTCGAACGACGTAATTTTGATAACTCCTTTTTAAAAGCGGCAAGTTTTCCTAATAAGTAAACCGGTGCCGCATCGCAATTGTATAGTCGTAGGTACATATCACTTACGGGTTTTCTCCGGGTCTTCCGGTTTCCTCCCACTGCTAAAGACCCCTACGCGCAAGCGAATTATTGAAAAAAAATTGAACCGTGTGTTACTCCAGAAATGACCTAGTTATGTGTCGAGTGGACGTTAACACCCTCTCTCTCTCTCTCTCTCTCTCTCTCTCTCTCACACACACACACACACCCACACACACCCACACACACCAAATGTCAAGGTATGATATGCCATTTCTCAGATATACGTAAAATCGACTCTAGCATGTGCCACAAAACCAAAAATTTCTTGGCACCGTTCACCGCCCCCGTCCCAAAGTGTCTTAAGTTTGGTTTGCCTACCCTTCTTTGGAGACACCCGGGACACCCGCACGACTCTGATGATAAACCTTTCTCCGCATAATTTTAATGTTAGTTCAGTATTTATTAAACTCTTCCGTATCGAAACTATACAAAACTGCACATTAGAGCTGTGTGACATGTAGTTCTACCTATACTAGCCTATATAATTAAATTTAGCGACTAAAATTAGAATTTGTCTGCGATGTCACGCTAGGTGTAAGTGGACGTTAAACCCCAGGAACGAACGAACGAACTAGTATCAGTTTTACTCACCGATTAATTCTCCCCTGGTTTCACCTGTTCGACAAATTTATGATTAGTCGACAGTAGTGACATATTCACAGTTATTAAATGACCCCCCAAATTATGGAAGCATAACGTTGTCAGTATTATTTCAATGTTCACGGTGCAAACTACATATGTCAGCAGTTCAAAATACGTATTTTAGTTTTACAATTTGCATTGCACATTACACTTCTCCATTCTGCATTTTGCATAATAGACAGATGCTTAATAGACCTTGTAGATCGATCGCGTAAATTATTAATTTCCGTCCTAGTCCGAACTATCCGGACTGAAAATGAGCTTCGTCGTAGATCCCATATAAGGTATATGTTCTAATATGCTAAGTTCTTTTATGCATTTGTCAATTTAAATCAACATTGATGTTCTGATCTTACCGGGAAAAGATGGGCTTCTGATATCCAATATTTAAGACAAAATAAACATTTTAAAATTGGTACACGAGATTCGAAGAACGAGGCTTGATATATTCCACAAGTCATGTCAAACGGTGACGGAATGTTCTTATCTGGAGAGCATGCGCAATAAATACTATCGGTGTAGACTGGAATAACCAGACGCTAGAGATTGCCATTCAATTGAGACCTCTGGCGTATTTAGAGGAACATAACTGATTTGAAATTAGAGTAAAAACGGAAACAATTGAATGTAAATCCGTTTATATTCATTCATATTACATTATTTGTGTCAATTTCTAATTCTCAAATATTAGCGATTTAGCTCCTTTAACTATAGAGATCATTCAACAAACATAGCTTCATAATCACCTCATTTGTCTATATATATCTATGCAGCGTAATTTCGGTCATTATTTTTAACTCCCAACCTTGTAGTGCGTATCTTAAAATGCTTACTTCTATGCTTACATATGTAAAAAATGCTAGTTTTTATGACTTATTTCTTAAATATTGCAGTTAGAATTTGTATTTTGTTCTATTTCCATTATTACTATTAATTTATTGTAGTCAGTTTCGTTTAGTTAACATTTTGACATTTACGTGGTAAAGGCGTCATAATTTTAACGCAGTTTACAATTATATGGTGGCTGATTGGAAACATATTAAAATTTTGCCTGTTACATAACTCGACTAACATGGCAACATTTTTCTGTCAAAAATAATAAAATATTTTACGTATAAAAGCAAATTATTCTAGATATTCTTTAAATATATAGATAGGCTATTGTGTCGTCCAATTGCCCTAATACTGCCATATAGATTGATTTGGCCTATTATTTGTTTCTGAAAGAATAATAAAACATATATACTAAGCGCCATGGAAAACGCATCACTTAGTTTTTCGTATAACAAAATGATCCTGTAAACATATGTTATTTATTTTACTTCTTATTGTGAACAATATTCAAATGGGAACACATCAATAACAACACATTTGTACACTTATGGATGTTTAATCTGTAATCAACGGTACAAAGTCAGAGGGGTCAAAACCAAAAGTACGACACAGATGTCAGTAGCGCGTGTGTCCTCCACGGGCTCTTGCGCACGCTGTGCAGCGACGTCGCATGGAATTTACCAATGTTTGAAAGAAGGCCTGGGGCAAATTGATGCATTCTTGGACAAGAGCAGCTTCTAAAGCAGCAATGGTGTGCATCTGTGGTCTCCGATACAGACGGCGTCCAATCTCATCCTAGACATGTTCTATCGGTGCCATGTTAGCAGCCAGGTAGTCCATACTAAAACGGGCGGTATGCGGACGTGCATTATCCTGTTGGAAGTGCTGAAGTTGTGGGTGCGCTCGAAACATCGGAATAACAATTGGTTGCAAGACATCATCACGGTAGGCTACAGCATTAACGCAACCCCTGCAAATGTGTAGGGCGGTCCGGTGATGAAATGTGAAGCTTCTCCACACCATTACACTTCCCCCACCCCATCGATTCTGCAAGACGTTCCCCAAGACGTCTCCACACACGTTGACGGCCATCAGCGTGATAAAGATGAAAGCGACTCTCATCACTGAAGAGCACACTTCGCCAGTCTACTCTTCTCCGTGTCTGGTGTCCTTGAGCCCATACCAAACGCCGCTGACGGTGATGATCCCTGAGGATAGCTCCAACATAAGGTCGTCGTGCACGGAGTCCTACTTCTCTTAGACGACATCTTACGGTGTTGGCACTTACTGGTCCTTGTCTTCCGACGACTGCTGCACCTGTTCGAGTCGTTAGGCGGAATCTGTCACGCAGATGAGTGACCCGGATGTAGCGGTCTTGAGCCTGGTTTGTAACGCGTTGTGGACCAGGACGTTGACGGTCACGTGTTGATCCAGTAACTCGAACACGTTCCACCAACCTTACAATAGTGGACTGATGACAATTGAAGTGTCTGGCAATAGCACGTGTAGACATGCCAGCCTTGGACATTCCCATGGCTTCATTCCGTTGATTTTCAGTAAGTCTCGGCATCTCTAGCTCGATTCCTTCACACGTCCAACAACAAATTACGACAGACTGACGTTTCACAGTTCATGTACTGCACATTAAGTTGAAAACATGCTTTTAAAGGGCTCACACACAATGCTGCACGTGAATATTGGGGTTTTCATGTGCATCTCGTGCAATTTTTTTTTTGTGCACACGGGCCGATATTTTTTGCGTTTGGGAGCATTGTGTGAAACAATAGTTCATAGTATTGCATAATATTATACATACAAAACCACCTAGTAATAAAATATTTGGGAAAACAAGTGATGCGTTTTCCATGGCGCTCAATATAGTAAGAACTTATTACGTCATGCATGCATGGAAGGGAAATAAATTAAATGAAATGAAATGGGGTTTAACGTCCTACTCTCTGCTCCGACTGGGATAATGAAGACGGGCATACGCCATACAGTGTGCTATGAGGGAAATTTTGCCTACTCTTATATCGAATTCCAACCGCCAATCGATCTTTTTCCTCGGTTTTTCGTCCCATCCTAACGACTAGACAGCTGTCCTTGTCATACCCTACATACTGCACACAGACAAGAGGAAACCACGTCAGAGCATGAAAGTTAATAAATTATAAGTATAAAAAGCCAATAGGTAATGATTAGTTTAACGTATCTTTCCCCTCAAAATTATGAAATATTTTAGGCACACAAGTAAAGTATTTTTTGATATCATTGAAGTATACTAGCTTTATACCGGGTCAAGCTTCCAAATCGTCGTGAGTAAGCCACTGGATCGGTAACCAGGTCTTGGGTTCGCTCCCGGGGTTGGAAAGAAAGTTCCTCGGGTTTTCTAGTGTTGTTTCCCCTTGCCAGTGGTGCAGGACGGAGTACCTGACAAGGAACACTGTCTAGTCGTTCTCATGGGACGACAAACTAATGGCGTTCACGTAAATCCGTGGCAGTTGGAATTTGAAATAAAAGTAGGCCGTATAGCGCCACCGTCCGTGCAAAATTCCCCCAAATTGCACACTTCATGACGTAATGCCCGTCTACATTAGCCCTATTGGTGCAGAATGGTAGGACGTTAAGCTTTATTTCATTTCCTTTCATTTCATTTCCATTTCACCGGTTTTGTGTTAGGAGGTAGGAGGACCCTTTGGGGATTGGGCGAACGATTCGCAGCTCTTTTTGCACGCCACATTTTGCTACTTGCTGCGATTGCTCCGCAGCATCACTCGACCTGCTTAGAAGACTTGAAGTTGAAGGGACACTTCAGTTTCTGGTTATTTCTCGTTGTTCCTCGAAAATCTTCAAAAATAACCTTTGGGAAAACGAAACTTTACTCACTTTCACTTTCGGTTTGAAGCACGGAGACCAATCGGTTAGATCTTTTTACATGCCCACCTGCAGATTACGTCATTGGTCACGTGATATAAACAGGGCTAACGGGGGGACGAGCACGAGATGGGATCCCCCACTTACCTAAGCAACCAATGCTCGAACACATATAAATTGTTAAAAGAGTTGACGTGATAAGAATGGTGTACGTAAAGCATTTGAAAAGACAGTCAGCAAAAAAAGTATGGGGGCATTTGTACCAATAGCCCCGCCGTTCCGGCGCCCCTGAATACCAGTCACCGCCCCCATCCCAAAGTGCCTTATGTTTAGTTTTCCTACACTCCATTAGAGACACCAGAACGACTCTGGTGATACATTTTTCTCCGCATAATTTTAATGTTAGTTCAGTATTTCTTAAATTCTTCCGTATCGAAACTATATGAAACTGCACATTAGAGCTGTGTTACACGTAGTTCTACCTGTACTAGCCTATATAATTAAATTTAGCGACAAATTAGAATTTGTCTGCTATGTCACCCTAGGTGGAAGTGGACTTTAAACCCCAGGAACGAACGAACGATATAATATCAATTTTACTCACCTATTAATTCTCCCCAAGACGACCGTAGTGACGTATTCACAGTTATTAAATGACCCCAAAAATGGGCACAATTTTACTATGTGCATACAATAAAGCTTTTACAAGTTATGACGCATCCGCTTCCCGATATAGAGTGTAAAAAAATGTGATAAATTCCCCTAAATTTATTGTCCAACTATCACCGACAAAAGAACCGACAAGCGCGTTTTTTGTCAATATCGCCCAAAGTATTGCAAAAAGGGACCGATAAGTGGTGACATAAGTTATTTGCTTGTATTATTATCATTTTAATAGAATTTGTGAAATGTATGATACTGTAAAGATAAACAGAAAAAAAGGGGGAATAAATAAGTATTTATAAATGATCCGCTTCACCCTTGACCCCCCCCCCATCCCAAAAAAGGGTCTAATTTATTGTAGTCAGTTTAGTTTCGTTTAACATTTTGACATTTCACAGATGTTAGGTGATAAAGGCGGCATAATTTTAACGCTCATTTTGGTAACAGATGGCGCTATTTACAATTGTGGCGTCTGATTGGGAATATAAAATCTTGCCTTTTATATAACCCGACTGACATGGCGACATTTTTCTGTCAAATATTATAAAATATTTTACGTATAAAAGCAAATTAATCTAGATAATTTTTAAATAAATAAATAAGTTATTTTGTCGTGCATTTGCCCTAATATTGCCATATCGATTGATTTGGCCTATATTTTTTCGAAAAGAATAATAAAATATATAGTAAGAACTTATTACGCCATGCGTGGGAGTGAGATAAATGAAATGAAATGAAATGGGGTTTAACGTCCTACTGCTCCGACTGGGATAATGAAGACGGGCATACGACATACAGTGTGCCATGAGGGAAATTTTGCCCGGGCAACGGCACTATGGCCTACTCTTATATCGAATTCCAACTGCGAAGGGATCTTTTACATGCACGCCAATGTATACATTGGCGTGAAATCTTTTATGCAATATTTTAAGCACACAAGCAAATTATTTTTGATATCATTGAAGTATACTGGCTTTATATCGGGTCAAGCTTCCAAATCATCGTGAGTCGCGGTGGCTCGGTGAGTAAGCTACTGGCCCGGCAACCAGGAGGTTTTGAGTTCGCTCCCGGAGTTGGAAAGAAAGTTCCTCGGGTTTTTTGGTGTTAGTTCCCCCTTGTCAGTGGTGCAGGGCGGAGTACCTGATAAGGAACACTGTCTAGTCGTTCTCGTGGGACGATAAACTAATGTCATGCACGTAAATGAACCCTTGGCAGTTGGAATTTGAAATAGCGTAGACCGTAGCACCATCGTCCGTGCAAAATCCCCTCAGATTGCACACTAATTCTTGGCGTATGCCTGTCTTCATTAGCCCAGTCGGTGCAGAACTGCAGGACGTTAAGCTCTATTTCATTTCATTTCCAAATCACCGGTTTTGTGTGAGGAGGTAAGGGGACGCTTTGGGGATTGGGCGAACGATTCGCCGCTCTTATTGTTCTCGAGGAGCAGGGGGGAGGGGGCAAAGGGTTGTAGGGTCCGCGCCATCTTTTGCTACTTGCTGCGATTGCGCAGTCCACATCAACACTCGACCGACTTAGAAGACTTGAAGTTGAAGGGACACTTTGGGGATTGGGCGAAAAGTTCGCAGCTCTTATTGTTCTCTTTGGTATCATAACTAACTGGATAAAGCCCAAACGAATTTAAAATTAGTATAGTCCTTCATTGTGAACACGCTTTAACAGTTCCATACTATGCTCCCATGGAGGGGTTCCAGGGTAATTGTCACCACCCACCCCCTCTTATATTTTTTAATGTTTCTATGCATGCCTATAAATTTGGAATCAATAAATTTATATTAATAATATTTGACAGGACTGCAAAGGTACATATACACTGATTTGTCAACATAGGGTAGTATAGACAAATGTGTTTTCAAGAGTTTTCAAACACCCATATCTTGATGTGGACGTATTATGCCGTCGCCCCTGTCCGCCCGTGTGTCTACAGGCCTATCGATTGTCGATGTCATTCCAGAGTTATCCCCCCGCCCCCGCCCCGAAACTCTTCTCGGAGTTCATAGGTTTAACGGATTCTTCTCAAATTTGGCGCGAAGCATTGTGGTCATGAGAGGTCGCACAATATCGGTCCACAACTGTCCATCTAAAGTCATAATAGGGGTGGAAGTAGAAAGAACTGGGACCATGAGGGGACAAAGCCTTTCGATATCCATCGTTCTTCGATATTCGATGTCAATGAAACTTGAAATATAGGTTTATCACCCTAAGATCTTGGTTCCTTTCGATATTGGCATGTATGGGACTGAAACTTCATGGATTATGGCCCCTGATTGTACGAAAAATCACGTTTTTACCTTGTGAACACTGTAGCGGTCATAATTTTTATCCGATTTGGTTTAAACTTGACATGTATGTTTATAACCCACGGATCTCGTTTCCTTTCGATATTCACGCATATCAGACCACAACTTCCTGTTATTTTTTTTAGCTTGTGGACCCCGTAGAGGTCACAATTATTATCCGATTTAAAAAACCGTTACAATGCTGAAAATATATTTTTATATATATAAAATAAAAATAGAGGCTATTAAAGGGGCATTGGGTAAGATTAGATAAAGAGCAGCCAGTTTGCGAAATAATAATTAATGAAAAGATAATATGATGAAAATTTCAGTCAAAGTTCTTCACTCTGAACCGAGATATTAGCGATTAAAAAAAAAAGTATCTATTATCAATGTTTACGGTTATTTTATCCATCACAGAACGTATTCAGGTCCACTAAATAGCACAGGCTAACGATGGCATCGACAGTTGATTATGGTCTTAATAAGTTAATTAATGTTTTAATTAATAATTTAAATACTCTTGCATAATACATGTTAAAATGAATAAATTAAGTATAATATATATTTTAGGTAAATTTCTTTTTAATAAAATTTACATATAATTTATGTAGCTGTTTGTCTGTCTTCCTGCATGGCTAACCTGCCACTGGTGATAACAAAAGTTACTTGAATTTATTATTATTATAATAGAATTTGTGAAATGTGTGATACTGTAAATTTAAATTTCAATAGAATTTAACATAATAAACGTAGTAACATTTCAATAACCCTGTCAATATACAATAATTAGATATTAAAATATGAATAAGATTATGTATACGACTCTCCAGACTTCAGAACGTTAGTTTTGACGCTGGTGGTTTCCATTTTGTTCAGGTTGATACAGACTTCATAGCAACTCAAAACTAATTTTGACGCTGGGGGTTTTCATACCATTTACGAACTTACCCTCTCCAACCGCCACGCACCAAACCCAAAAAATTAATACAAACATAGTTTGCCAGGCAAGGTGACATAAGCCCGCCAACATTTTCGTCTTGTATGTTCTTTTCATTTCTTGCTACATGTCATCAATTATGAGATACAATTCAAATTTAGGTAGACAGATGATTGTGTATAAATCTGAAATGCTCATAGTCCCGTATTATCAAACTGAAACAACTTTTCAGGCAGCAAATGAAAAAAAAGGAAAACCAACTCGGTTGCAGTATATTAAGAAATTCGGGAAATATGCTTTTATCTTTTAAAATAGAATTGTTAAAGTATATCTTTGTATATATTTTATTACTATTTAGTTTTAGTCAAAACAGCAATTGACCAATGTCACAATTGATATCTCACTAATCTGTCAGGTTTTTTTTAACTGTTTGGGGTTATACTTAATGTAACGATATATATTACGTAATAATAGTTAACACGAGTTCTTGCTTTGTCCATATCATATTCTGTATTTAAATATCTGTTTCTTATGTACAATTTAACATATTGTCAAATATTATTATATAATTATTTTAATACTAAGCTTTTATCATTCGAATAGAATTACAGGAGCAATTTGGGAATATGCTCTTATCTTCTGGAATAGAATTACAGGAATAATTGTAGTGTATTTTAATTGTATTTACGCATCGTTTCCGAGTAAAAAGAGACCAATGAAATTTGTTTCGGGTTTACGCGAAATGTAATCCAGATTAGTCACCATGACGCCAATCTGATCCCCGGCAACCATTTCAAAAGTACCGGAAACGAAGCTGCTTCGGAAGTCGACCTCACCTTTCTTGACGCGTGTTTGATGCTCGTTCCGAAGAAGTTCCTCTTGACCGTTCTGTGTCGGAGACGATTGTCGAAATCGGACGACTTGATGGAATAATTCCAAACTTGTGTTGATTGGCTGATGGTAATTAACACCGGGAATAAGTTTGAAATAAATTTGACTATACAAAAAGTAGGTCCCCTTAGTTTTGATAACGAGTTTATGTGGACCTATGTTAATCCCATCATAGTGAGATAACGACCTCGATTTCAACAGTTTCACTGAAAGAAGAAAAAAGAATAAATAGATAAAAAAATTACAAAGAGGCGAAACCGCTTTCATCTAAGTCAAAATAAGTATTGGACGACAATCTTGGGATAAAAGATGGGGCAAGCTCAAAACAATTTCTGGGATATTTATTGTGAACTGTGTCATTCTTTAATTGTTTTCGGGGTTATAAAAGTCTGGGATTTCTAACTGGAGGGCTCTGAATTTGAAATGGGTTTATCCTCGTTTTGCAGTTGAAGTTACTCGATGTTGCCAACTCGACTTCGCATTATTGTTTAAGTTGTGTTTGAAGTTTATAGAGAGGAAGGACAGATCCGATTAGTTGACAATACCTGCATTTTTGTTGACTCCTAATACATCACTACCATGAATTAACACATGAGCACAGACAGCATTTCCCTCCAACAAATTATTCGTCACATTGTCATAGTCTGTAAAATATCAATATTATTTCGCTGTTATTTTTCTATTCACCATAGACATTAAGACACTCAGGTTAAAACACAGATCCTATTTTGTTTCGTTATTTATAGTTCCAAATGTCGTTTTACTTGCCTTTATTACACTAGGATCTGGAAGTTTTGTTATATACTATTCAAAAAAAGTAGGGGATATTTGATTTTGGGGGCATAATACTAAAATATGCAAATGACTACGAAAAAAGTCACTATAGAACCTAACAGAAGAAACATTTCCAGTTACATATGACGCCCAAACGCACCAATAGCTACCGCATGGAATGCAGGTGATGCTTGGGATCATCATGGGGGTCCAACCCCAGATTTGCACGACTCTGACTTTGAATGTTACAGTCATTGTGGCATTGAATTCCAGGGTGGAAACATCAGTTTAATTGTTTTAGTGACCAGAAAACAAATTTTGATATGCGTCGGCTTACCCAAAATGAAAGGTTACGTGCCCTTGGCATGCTACAGATCGGCACAACACAGGCGGTTGTGGCGCGGACGATGAATGTTTCTCAGTCTGTCATAAGCAGGCTATGGTCCAGATACCGTGATACACAATCTGTACAGGACAGACCACGCTCAGGTCGACCAAGGGCGACAACTCAAGCCGAGGATCGATTTATCCGTACCTTGGCCTTGAGAAATCGTGTCATCACAGCAAATCAGATCAGCGCTCGTCTTCAAACAGACACTGGTGTGAGAGTGAGTGGCCAGAGGATTCGGAATCGACTGCATAGGGGTCACCTTCGCGCCCGACGTCCTCGCGTGATCCCTTGTTTGAGAGATCATCACATTCAGGCAAGACGTCGTTGGTGTAGGGATCGTCAACACTGGGATAATCGACGCTGGAGCAATGTGATGTTTTCAGATGAGTCAAGGTTCACTGTTGATTTTTTGGACAGACGTAGGAGGGTGTGGCGTCGTCGAAACGAGCGCTTCCAAGACTTTAACGTCATCAGACATGATCGATTTGGGGGTGGTTCTGTTATGGTGTGGGGAGGCATCACTGTTGCTGGAAGAACGGCTTTACATGTTGTTGCAGGGCGTGTTACAGGCCAGTACTACCGGGACAACATCTTGGCAGTCCATGTTGTGCCGTTCGCACGACGTCATGGCCGCCGTTTCATCTTCCAGGATGACAACGCAAGATGTCACAGGGCCAGGATCGTTACAGGTTACCTCCAACAACAGAACATCACCACATTACCTTGGCCAGCACTGAGTCTCGACCTCTCCCCCATCGAGCATGTCTGGGACATGCTTGGACAGAGGTTACGTCAACGTCAACAACGTCCTGCCAATGTCCAAGAACTTGCTGCTGCGTTGCAATAAGAATGGGACAATCTGGACCAAAATGACCTTAGACGTCTCATTAGGAGTATGCCACGTCGGATCAATGCTTGTTTGGCAAACAGAGGAGGATTTACCCGTTACTGACTTGGTTGTGATGCTGTGGTAAATTTGCTGTTTGACCCCGGGTATCATTTTACCCTTATAATGGTCAGTCTGTGCCTTATTTAGTCTAACGATCATTTGGATTAATTTGATGAATGTGAACTTCATTTCATTTTGTCATTTGTTTCTTCGTCAGTTTCATTAGGTGACTTTAATAACACTTAAAAATCAAATATCCCCTACTTTTTTTGAATAGTATATAATCCGCGTTCTGCTTGATGAAAGATATTAGCCAATGAAACGATCTGTTGCAGCGAGTTCTACACGGAACTGTGGGTATCCTACTAGAAACATCAACGCTGATTTGTTAGTCAAATGTCTGATGTCATGGGGTCAAAAGTCGCTCGTATGACCCTGACGCTACCTCCCATCACAACTGGTCAGATCTTCATGTAGTAGAGGCCATCGAAAGTATTAAAAAAAAAACGAAACGAAATATAGATCTGTATTTTAATTAGATTGACATTAGATAATCTGAGATACAAAATAAGACAAAGATTGAAGTAGAGTTAAGAATAAATTGTTCCCTGAAAGATACATATTTATAGGGTAATTATTTCCAGTAAAAGTATGTCATATTTGGTATATATTGAAAGTATGCACTCAATCTTACCAGAAAATATAGGATTCCATGTCAGTGAAAAAGGCGCCCACAAGACAAAAATGTAAGGATGTCACTAACTGCTAAATTTACTTAGGCTTCGATATTTATGATAAATGGACAGCGACTACCCAAAAATATAAGCAGAAAGTGGACTCTCCTTCTATCAAGTCACGAGGTGACAACAAGGCTGCGCAAAATAGATTTTCGCGGCATGGGGTAGTTTTATCGAGTTTAAAATGTTTATATAGAGTTTTTAAGCAAGCTTTTGATAGATAGATGAATTGCTTTGTATATGACTATAGGCCAAATATATCATCAAATCACACAGTTTGCAAGCGGAAAGGCATCTTCATCATTTATTTCAACATATCAACTAAAATCTTTAATATTCATTTTTAGATTTGAAATTTGGTATCATAGTTTATTTTTTACATCGATATAGTCATGTAAATTCTTCGTACATTGGTCGAAATTTTAACATTATTGTCTAGTGTGTTTAAATTCGAAAGAAGGCAAAATATTAATATAAAGCTAATTTTGTTTTTACTTACATTTATCCACATAAGCTTTTGTCTTGTTATCAATAACCTAGAAATGAAACTTTAATATTATTAAACGCCATAAAGATACATTATGAGAGATTAGATAAAGAGTTGACTGTTCTCGCTATAAAAGTTAAAAAATAGATAAAATAAATAGAATATGTTGAAAATTTCAGTCACATTGCTCCATTAATGAGCGTTGAGCAGTAGATCGGATTCAGGTCAAATGAAAATCCGACACTTAAGTTGGTTATGGTTTGGATAGGTTAATTAACGTCTAATTAATAGTTTAGATAACATTTCGGGCCTAAAGAAAGACCTGCAATAGGCAGATTTAGCCCTTGCATAAAGTATGTACGTGGCATCATACGATGTTTCAGTTAAAGTTGTAGGGCAGCGAAAATTAGAGGACATTTGATCTCACCCCAGCTCATCTACATGTATTACTACATGGCTTACTTTTATTTCAAATTCCAACTATAGGGTTATATTACATGCAGCCAAAGTATACATGGGGCATCGGTGTTTCTTTCCATTTGCCAGGACTTTCGTCACACACCACTGGCAAGAGGAAACAGCGCTGGAAAATCACTATGACCAAACCCTGGATCCGGCTTAGTGAGCCAACGCCTTAGTTACTGGACCACTGTGGCTCCTTTCATAAACTACTATAGGTCTTCGTGTGAAATGATTGAAGTGTGGTTACAAATTCTTTTAACTTTGATGTAAAATACCTACCCAATTTAGTATAATCTGCATTTGTTCTGGAGTGCTGGCACAATACACAAATTGATCATTGTTTACCTCTTTACTTAACTTTTCAATTTCACTTTCTTCGTCTCGAAATGGAGACAGTTTCAGTTCGGTGGTTGTAAAACAAATTTTTCCATTATCTTGATTTTCGGGTAGGCTGAAATTAAGCTTTATAAAAACTACTCCAGACATTACAGATGCAGAAATACTCAGAAGTATGGTCACTCCCAATAGTACACAGTGTGTGTTATGACATCTGAATTTTCCTCTCTCGGCAGTAGATAACCTTGCGCCTGGCTCCAAGTAAGCAAAGCGTCCCTGTCGATGTAAATCCAAAGTTATCGAATTCTGATCATGGTAATGCGACATAACTGAAAGAAAAATGAAAAGAATAATGTTTTAACTTGTATGAATGTCCATTGTATGGTTGATGTTATATTTATAGCACGGCTTTCATGAGTTAACAGGTTTAACCAGAGGCCGAAGGCCGAGGGGTTAAAACCGTTAACGAATGAAGCGTGCTATAAATGACTTGTAACATTGACAACTGCTCAACATGCTTATTGTTATTGCACAGAAAACCCACCCCACTTCTCTATATGATTTCTACTAAAACTAGTGTAAACCAGCAAAAGTGTGCAATAACATTGAACATGTCTAGCTATTGCACGGTTAAGCTCCACCCAATCTACTAGAGGGAAAACAATCTGCTTATTCAACAAAAAGAACAAAGGAAGATTTTCCGCCCATGTTACAAATATTTTATTATTGTTCCCCCATGCCTGTGTGAATACGTGTTGAGTAATACTAAGAGTAAGAGTCTATTCAATCAATTTAGTGTAGTATTAATGCGAAGAAGATATAATATAAACTAAAGTATATACCAATTTAACAGCCCTAAATAAACTACCTGCTTTGCTAGATTAAATATAGGCAAATTTTAGTCAGCCATATTGCGAGTTCTCGGAAATTGAAGCTATATAATTTCTAGTTTCATTTTCCGTTTGCATGTCTTTGCCATGTGTTTTTGTAAATATATGTGTAAATTAGTTCCAAATTTCGGGGAATTTGTTGTGTTTTCATATGTATCTGTATTCAAACTGTTTCATAGCAGTAATGCGAAAGCCGTCTTTAAACATTTACACGATGACAGACCTTTATGGTCACGCTTAGTATAGTCACGTCTGACGTCATATCGATAATATTTTACGCACCCATATTCCTTAAACAGGAAATATACCTCAAATATCAGTTTTTGCTTAGTAATTAAAAAAAAATGCTTTAGAATTTAATTTCCAGAAGAAAGGGTTATATTTTTTTTTTAGGGTGGGGGGGGGGAGGGGGAGGCGGGATATAGAAGGCATTTATTTGGTCAAGAGATATTCCTCGTTCCGCGACTTTTTCATCTGGAGTTTCCGAGTTATCCTCCTTTGCGGAAACCTTTTAAACGCTATAGAGGCTACAGTTTTTACCGGATTCTTTTCAGGACTGGATTGAAGCATTTTGGACATTGAGGACGACTCCTATCGATATTCAGCATTCTGCGGTTCCCACCCGTAGTACTCAGTTTTACTCATGTTATAAGTGTTTTCTGACCATCAGAATTCTGCAAACATCTCCCCCCCCCCCATATCAGGAAATGGCATTTCAGGGACCTAGATAGACAAATTTCTGCGGGGAACCCCCAAGAAAGCTCGCACTCGTGGCTGCGTCACTGGTATTAGGGGCCTGTGCATCAGCTGGTCTCATTTCTCCTACCACCCCCCCCCCCCCCCAAAAAAACAAAAAAAAAATTTTAAAAAAAATATAAAAAAATCGATATGTACGCCCATAGAAATTTTTTAAGGAACAAATTGATATTACTGTTTCAGGTACAATAATTATCGAACGATCCGCAGGGGCATCACAAACTTTTAGGCTCTGGATACAGGTCTTCGACTGATTCTGAACACAATACTCGCTACTTACGGGCAATTCACGCGATAGTTTAGTTTCGTCTGCCTTTGACCTAGATATATTGTCGTTTATTGTTAATGATATTTCTATACTTTGAGATTTTGACAGGCCATTAAACTAAAGACCAAGTTTAATAGTTAATAATTTATAAGTTAGTGTAAACGGGGTGGGGGGATTGGCATAATTATGATATTAAACTTTTCTCCATATTTCTTGATGTTTGTTTAATACTTTTGAAATTCTTCCATATCGAAACTGCACATCATAGTGTCATGTGACATGTAGTTTTACTAGCCCATATAATATAATTATTTAGAAAATAACTAGGATATATAGCATCAACAAATCATTATTGATTGATTCCCAGTGTTACTCACCGATTAATCCTCCCCAAGTTTTACTTGTTTTACATCATTTATGATTAAACGGCATTAGTGACATATATACAGTTATCGTGACTTCAAAAGTAATGGACTCCACTTTATAATGTGCAAACGTTATCTGAGACACGATATATGATGTAATTTGACCTAAATTTGGAAAATAGGATTTTCCCATAACAACGAATCCTTAAAGATACATTATATAAGATTTAGTTCAAAAATAGATAAAGCAAAATGAATATATTGAAACTTTAATTCGAATTAGCCTTTGAAGGTTGACAGGATGTGTGCACTGATTGTAACGTTTAATTGGCGTATTCTTCACCCCTGGCTATAAAAGTTAAAAATAGATAATGAAGAAGAAATGTGTTGATAATTTCAATCAAATTACTTCACTCTGACTCACCCTGAGAAGAGATATCGCCGTTAGAAGAACAACATAGCCTCGATCGCCATCGCTACCTTGTTAAGATATACTAAACAAAAGGCTCGATTATCTATTTTTGAATTAAATCATTAAATGGCATCAAGAGTTGATTATTGTCTTGTCATGTTAATAAATGTCTAATTAATGATTTATATAACATTTAAGGCCGAAAGAATTAAGACCTACATTGCAATAGGCAGATATAGTTCTTGCATAATACCTGTTTAAGCAATTACTAATCCTAAAGATGATTAAGTATTGTTTTGTGACGTTTTAGGTCAGTTAGCTCCCCCTAGCCCTAGGTCCGATCACAACTTAGCCCCGCCGCGTCGAAATCAGTTGTGGTGGGGGAAGATAGGCATTCGAGAAAGGGGGAGACGGGTCTGTAATCGCTGTAAGCCCGTTAACGCGTTTTCATTTATTTGGCCAATTTCAGTGACATCGATACTAGATATTGGAATTAATGGGTAATGCGATTAAAGTATCCCTGAATATAAAAGATGAAGTCAAGTCCATGCCAAGGACGAATTATTATGTCAGCATCGATGCTAGATTTAATTAAAGAGAGGCCATAGGCTATAACACTTTATGGGACCCCTCGCAATCTACTCACCCTCACTAGAGGAATGTGAAAGTGTGTTTTAAACACAATTGAGCAAAGGCAGGGATGTGGGAAAGGCTTATGACAGTGTGAAAACTCCGGCTTTAATATTACTAAAGTGTTCGAGTTTGGAATCATGTCATACTTCACTTATCACGGGAACTCCTTCTTGGCCGGTGGTTTGAGGGGCAAAGTGCAATGTTAAGGGTGCAAAAGAACGAGCTTCAACTAGAGGTATGGGGGGGGGGGGTCTGTCCCAGAAATATTTGAAAACAGACTGCCGCAAATGCAGTCTGACAGTATTTCAGGCATAAATAGATCTGACCAGATACCACCTGTCGCCTGACCACTAGTTTATCTGATCAGAGTGGAAAGTGTCAACGAACGGACTAGCAAACCTCAACGAAGCCACCTCATGAGCGCCAAAGTAGCAAGCAGAACATTTTGAAAAATAAACAGCCGGAAATGCAGTCTTACAGTATTTAGACACCGATTCTCGAGATACATAGAGTTGGTCAAATACCGCCAACTTGCGAACATCAACGAAGCACCCGAAAATTTGAAAAATAGACTGCTGGAACAGCAGTATGTCATGCACAGATCGTCGGGATAAATAGAGCTCACCAGATACCACCTGTCGCCAAATCACTAGTTTATCAGACCAGAGAGGAAAGTATCAAACGAACGGAGTGAATGAATATTTTCGTCACGATAATTTGTGAAATAGACTGCCGGAAATGCAGCCTGGCAGTATTTCAGACACTGGTCGTCGAGATAAATAGAGCTGACCAGGTACTGGCTGGTGCCAAATCACTATCTTATCCGAACAGAGAGGGGTGTGTCAAATGAAAGGAGTGAGTAAATCAAAGTTAATGAATATTCTTGCCGCGTTGAACCCATGTCCAAAAACTTTGAGGATGCGTTCGGTAAGAAATCACTCGAACACCAACATGAAAGTTTATCACTGAGTGGGAATGTGGGATTCAATCATTGTAGAAGGTATTGATTATCGAAATATATCACAAATACTGGATACAGGCTATATGTTTTAACGTGTTTGTTTTTTAAATATTTGGCGTGAAGTATTAGGTGTATCGGAGGATGGACCTAATCAATATTAAGAGTTTTGCAACTTTCTTTTCCGGAGTTACCCTCTTTGTCTAAAACCTTGTGATCGCAATAGAGGATACAGGACGATTGCTCTTAAATTTGATGTGAAGCATTGTGGTTATGAGAGGACGAACATATTGGTATCCAAACAATGTGAACGCGATAGAGGCCATTAGAGGATAAACCCTGGTTAAAATTCAAGTTTTCCTTTCGGATAAGCTGGTGTAGAGACATTGCTGCTGTGTGGACGTATTTCCACGGTTTGCGTGACCATCTTTGGTTTTAGCTATAATTCAATTCAGTCACTTGTTTAAAATTCGTATCAAATGGCATAACAAGCCCAAATACAATCACAATATTATTCAAATCAATATATAATATAAATAAAAATAAAAATAATAGTTATAAGATAAATAATTTTAGTTTAATATATTTTAGTTCAATTTCTTTTTAATATAATTTATATAATTAAATTTAAATTAAGTTTCTGAGGCGCCCTGGCGCAGGTCCGACATAGTAATCTGCAACTGGTGATGACATAAATTATTTGCTTGTATTATTATAATATAATGTATGACACTATAAATTTAACATACAATATAATTTAAGGTAATAATTGTGGTAACATTTCAATAACCCTGTTTTCATGTTAGATAAAACCTTGTCAATACACAATAATTCGATATTAAAATATTAATAAGGTTACTATATGTATGCTACTCTGGAGACTTCGCAACGTCAGTTTTAACGCTGGGGTTTTCCATAACCCTTACCATTCTGCTCATCCTTTGTATCCCCAGTGGTCTCATCCCGTTTCACTCCACTAACCCTTGGGTTAATCGGGTGGAAGGGCACGTTTTCAAGTTATCCGCCCGTGATGATTGTGCTATTTTTATCGACCAATCCCATAATTCGTTAATTGCAAAGGAAGTTGCCAAAGGGAAGTAACTCTTATTGGGTAAAGTAAGCAAAACTCAATGGCTCTCCTTTAAGAGAAAGGGTTAGGAGTTAGCCAGAAGGTAGCCTCAATGAGAGAATTCGAAATTATACTAAATGCGTATTTATTAACAACAAAGTATAATTGTAGTATATTAGTATATTAATTAAATATAAATGAATTAAAAATATATACATTATTTACATAAATCAGTCAGTAAATGGACATGAATATGGTTATCTACCCTTATAAAAACGAACGCGAAACGACTGGTTTGTAAACTGTATTTTGATTGGTTCGCAGACTTTAGCTACAATCAAGGCCAGCGCAGATAATTTGAAATCGTGGAAACCCTATGGAATAACTCAGGGTATAGTGGAGTAGAACGGAATGAGACCACTGGTGATACCGAGGATGCATTCTGCTCAGGTTGATACAGAATTTATAGCGACTCAATATTATCAAACACAATTTTGACGCTGGGGTTTTCCAGCATTTACACCCTTACCCTTCCCAACTCCCAGCCACCAAAGCTGTACCCCAAAAATTAATACAAACAGTTTGGTTTCCCAGACAAAGTAACATAAGCCCACCAACACCTTCGTCATGTCATGACGGATATTTAATTCAGGGTGTTGTTTTGTTTTAAAAACCCATCCAGTGGGATTTGTTGACATTGATTTTAGAGCTAGCACGGACGATTTTGCTGCAGGTGGAGACATTATGTCGACTGACACCCCCTCGTCTATGTGGGCATTTGATCTACTTACCTATATTAGCATATTATGTAATGTGGTGAAATTCAGTAAGATCAACAATATGGTTAGAAGATGAATAATGTGGTTAGATGATGTTCTGGTCATTTCTTGATACATATTAACAATTATGGGATACACTTTAATTTTACATAGACAGATAAAAAAAATGTATCATCAAATTGAAACAACTTTTCCAGTAGGAAATAAAAAAAAGAGAAGATCAAAAGGATAACCAACATGTGGGAAGTATATTAAGAAATTTGGGAAATATCCATTTATGTTTTAGAATGGAATTCCAGGAATATTTTGGGAATATGCTCCTATCTACTGGAATAGAATCCAGGAACATTTGTAATGCATTTTGATTGTATTCACGCACCGTTTCCGAGTAAAAAGAGGCCTATGAAATTTGTTACGGGTATACGCGCTATGTAACTCAGATTGGTCACCGTGACGCCAATCTCATCTCCTGCAATCATTTCAAAAGTACCGGAAACGAAGCTGCTTCGCCTGTACGTTTCATTATGCTTGATGAATGTTTGTTGGTAGTTCTGAAGAAGTTCCTTTTGAGCGTTATGTTCCGGAGACCGTTGTCGAAATCGGACGACTTTATGGGATAATGTAACGCTTTTGTTCATATGGTAATGAAAATCATGAATAAGTTGGAAATAAATTTGACTATACAAAAAGTAGGTCCCCTTAGTTTTGATGACAACTCTATGTGGACCAATGTTAATTCCATTAGAGTGAGATAGTGACTTCTTTTGCATCAGTTGTGCTGAAAAACAAATTAGAATACATGATATGTAACTAAATAGATAACTATTTATTAAATATATAAAGAGGATAAACTGCTTTAATAATAATAATAATGAAGTTTTATATAGCGTCTTCTCCATGTTAACACATGCTCAAAACGCTTTTTGTAATGGCTCTACTGGTAAAACTGTCGAAACAGGAAAGTCTTTAGTGCGGATTTAAATTGATTAAAAGTTTGTTGATTCTTGATCTGTTGTGGAAGTTCGTTCCATAATCTAGGACCAGCTGAACTGAAAGACCTATACCCATATGACTTAAAATTATATCTTGGAACAACTAGTGACTGTTTATTTTGAAAGCGAAGTGATCTAATAGGGTTGTAGTCATATAAGAGTTCAGATAAGTATTGAGGAGCTGCATTATTGCGATATTTATACACTAATGTTAGTATTTTGTATTTGACTCGCGCCTCAGCAGGTAACCAATGTAAAGAAGCCAGCACATTCTGGATGTGATCAAACTTATGTGTCCTTGTTACTATTCGGGCTGCAGTATTAAGAACCTTTTGGATCTTGGCTAGAAGTGCTTGTGGGATTCCATAGAGTAAACTATTACAATAATCAATCCTTGATAAAATAAGTGATCTCACAAGTAGTTAATCAATAATAAAGTATTGGAATGTGTTGTTTCGATGAGAGATGGAACAAGGTCCATTCGTTTGGGGGAGCCGGATTCGATTTCGACATTGCCAGAGAAGTTCCCTTGTCAGTGATGGTGAACAGAGAGACTGACAAAGAACAACTTCTAGTGGTTCGTTGTGACGAAAAATCGAGGCCACAGGCCTACACGCTCGTTTACACACAAAGATAAGCCTTGACAATTGGAATTCTAAATATGAATAGGCCGCTGCCCTTATGTCTGTCTTCATTGGCTCGATTTGATTTTCATTTTTATACGCCCACATTAAAATTTCAGTCGTAACCTTGTCCATTAACAATCTTCTTGCGAACGCGATGGAAGCTACGATTGTTGGCTGGTTTTTTTTTTAAAAAAAAAATTGGTGTGAAGCATTGTAGTCATGCTTACGACCGGTAAAGTCTAAAATATAAGGCCCACTGCAGATATGATCATAGGTCGCGAGATGTAAATAGGGGTCATAGGGGTCAGAATATTGTACGTTGAATCTCTAAAAGGATTATCAGTCCAGAAATGGTTAAATTCCGACCAATAATTACAAAGATGTGATGAATTGAAAATCTGTCAACGTTCTGTGTAGACGTTAATGGTAAAAGCAAGCTAGCGCCATCTATTATCTTCGCTACAATTCTTTATGGACCTCTTTTTAATCCATTGAATACAATTTGGGGGTTTATATTTTGATTTTGTTCTCTTAATTAAATGTTAAATAATCAATCTGAGTGCATGCTTTAAGACTTGAAAAATTAGATATATTGTCCGAAAATGCAAAAGACGACCACCGGCTTTTAGGAGAAGTTGGTTGTTTGCTAATTTTAATTTCAATTTTTGGCTTTCTATTGCGAAACGGAGGTAATATTGATGGGCGTAATTTTTTCAATGAACACGAAACAAACCGACTTTTAAAATATATTGAAATGTTTCAGTGACATTTAGTGGAAATACACAGGACGCAATACTGATTATTACCGAGTCAACAAATGGGGAGATAACTTCACGATTATGAATAATTAATATCGGCTTCTTCATTAGCCTACATCCCAGTGTACAAACTATTTACAAAATCCACCAATAACTCTTATATTCATAAAGTAATGGTTACGAGCATTGATATGTGCGTCCATATAGTTTAAAACAATTTACATTTCTAGGATTATATTTTCCGCCAATTGCAAGCGTCTTTGTAATTTCCGAATTTTGTTGAGCGTAGTAACCAACGCTGCATTAGATGTTCGGTGTGATCATACTGGGCTATTACATAATCGTTCAAAATGATGAATCTCTTAATCTGCCATATATTGTAGCCTCCTATGTCAAATAAAACTGAGTATAAAGTAGTTAATTTCACTGAACGGAAAACAGTCAATAATAAATATGCTTTTACTAAGAATCGGTTATGTTTGAAGTTTATAGATCCGATTAGTTGAGAATACCTGTTGTATTGTTGTTGTATGCTGGTGAATTACCAGAAGCTATTAACACATGCGCACTGACAGCATTCCCCTCCAATAAAGTGTCCGTCAATTTGTCATAATCTGTAAAATATAAATATTTGTTCTCTATTATTTTAAAATACAACAAGCACAGCTTAATATCCTTTCATGACCTTTAAAAGCCATATTAAACACATAAGCTTATATACATGTAGATGTAGACTTTACTTCATATAAAACTATGTCAGTATAGCTTCAATCTCGGCAACTCTTTTTCTATTCATCGTTGACTACAAATATCCATTAGGATACGAGATACAAAATACGCCAAAGCTAGATAATAAATAAGGAATTATGGAAAAATCGAACAAAAATAAGCCTCAAGAATTAATTGTTGCCTTAAAAAGTGTCCCATATGTTTAGGTTTGACATTTGGCATCATAGGATATTTACAACGTTAGTTCGTATATTGGTCGAACTTAACTTATGTATGGTGTTAATATAAAGCTAATTTTCTTTTTACTTACATTTATCCACATAAGTTTTTGTCTTGTTATCAATAACCTAGAAATGAAACTTTAATTTTATTAAACGCCTCAAGCTTTTTTTTAACGTAGCATCATACGATCTTTCAGTTAAACATGGAGGGCAGTGAAAATCAGAATACATCTGCATGTAGCTAATATTACAAAATTATTTTTCGGTTTTAGGAAACCTGCATATTCTAGAATCAGATATTTAAGCACCTCGATCGTATTAAGCGCGACTGAACCCACAATATTTTTATTCTGTATATACGAATAATCTAGGTCTTTTTTTTCCCATTCGGTCTTCGTGAAATGAAATGGGGTTCAACGTCCTACTGTTTTGCTACATTCAGACTGGCATATACGCCATACAGCGTACAATGAGGGAAATTTCGACTGGACAGCGGAGCAACGGCCGACCCTTATATTGAAATCCAACTGTCAAGTGTCCTTTTTTGTGCGCGCCAACGTGTACACGGGATGTGGGTTTTCCGTGCAACAGAACGGCTAGATACTGCCCTTGCCATACATCACTGACAAGGGGAAACCACACAGGAAAATCCGTAGGAACTATTTCGACCAAGACCGGGATTCAACCCGGGACCGCCTGGTTACTTACTGAGCCATCTGGCTCAAAAGGTCTACATGTGAAATGGTTGAAGTGGGTAACAAAATCTTTTTGCTTAATTAAATTGATGTAAAATACCTACCCACTTCAGTATTATCTGCATTTGTTGTGGAGTGCTGGCACAATACAAAAATTGGTCATCTCTCACCTCTTTACTTAACTTTTCAATGTCACTTTCTTGGTCTCGAAATGGGGAGAGTTTCAGGTCAGTGGTGTTAAAACAAATTTTTCAATCATCTTGATTTTCGGGTAGGTTGATATTAACGATTATTAAAACTACACATGCAAACATACTCAGAAGTATGGCCAAGCCAGTAACTCCTAATAGTACACAGCGTGTACATTCTCTTCTCTCGACTGTAGATCGCCTTATGTCTGGCTCCAAGTGAGCAAAGCGTCCTTGTCGACCTGGACATAAAGTAATTGAATTCTGACTTTGGTGATGCGACATAGCTGAAAAAACAATTGAAATGAATATTGTTTAACAGCATCTATTGTATTTTCTGGAGTTATGCCCCCTTTAACAGAAGCTCCGGTTTTTAACATATCTAATTGATAAGGTGATTTTCAGGTTTGGTCAAAGGTCACAAGATGTAAACAGAGAGAGAGAGAGAGAGAAAATGGGGTTTAAAATCCACTCGCCACAAACTAGGTCATATGGGGACTAACATATGGTTCAATTTTATTTCAATAATTCGCTTGCGCGTAGGGGTCTTTAGCAGTGGGAGGAAACCGGAGGACCGAAGAAAACCCACGAGGTTGGACAGGCGACCATACTCCCCGTCACGTACAACTGGGAAATCGAAACCACTCCAGTTGCTCAATGCGTCTCTATCTATGAATTTGAGCTTTCTGTAAGACAGTCCAGGAAAGATTTAATTAGCATCTCGAGCACGAAAGATTTGAGATCAGGAATTAGTAGATATGTGCCGGTCACATTACCCCCAAATTTGGTTTGTAACACATGTATGAGTACAACAACCAAAACAATGTCAAATGCTTCTTTATTAGCGTCCGAATCAAATCGAAGAACTCTTAAGTGCCCGTTGTGGAGACTAGTCCATTTCCGAGAGACCTATAGGGGACCCGCTTTAGACTTTTAACGCACATCTCGAGTACATCCACGAAACATGCGTCAAAATGTTCCTTGGGATTTTCTGAGCCAATATTATGATTCCTAAAGAGTTGTCAATTATGGGGATTAACCCACTTCTAAGTAAGTCACCATTGGCCTGCACTGCCCAATCCACGTTTAATGCACATCTCCAGTACAAGCAAATAATAGGTGTCAAACTGTTCATTAGTATCTTCTGCGATAATACGATTCCTTCTAAGTTGTTAATTATGGGGATTACCCACTTCTGAGTAAGTCGGCTGACACCTGGTCGAGGGCGCGTATGTACATGTATGGTTTCAAGGGGAAATGCTGCCAACGAGCCTTGTTCCAGACGAAGATAGCGATTTAGATGAGGCGGACTCCGACGAAACAATAGAACCAGTTCATGAGGACGATTGAAAACATTTAGTATTTTTACGGATCAACAATTATTTCATCAGGGAATTCATTTCGGCAAATGATACTACCACTTATCATTTAGATTTTTTTCTCTCAATTATTAAAAGCCCTCGATGTTGGCGATCCTGGTCTTGTTTGTTTTCTCTCAATAACATACAATGAACTCATAGTGTCTTGTGTTTTCTTTTTCAAAATATATCAAACGTCATTCTCGGGAGCATAAAATATACATTTGGCGCGGGGGGGGGGGCTGGACACCCCTGTTGTGCATGTGTGGGAGATGTACATTAAAAGTTGATTGGGTTAAAATACAGAGAGATGGGTGTGACCAAGCGGGTGCGTGTCATTGAAAGTCACAAGTGTCATTGTCAAGGTCTGATTGGACTTCACAACTTCTCTGTTGCTTACTGGGGAAGTAAAAGTGTGGGTATCACAAAGAAAACAATGGTTCGTGCATACACGAAGCTTGATGGCGATAACCATGTTATCAACAGTTTCAGGGAGCTTTGCGAAGGCGCCATCACAACTGAGCAACAGGTCAAGGGATTGGAGAGATTTGTCTGCCAAGTTTACTCTTCATCTGTTCCATTAACCCTTCAAGCACTCAGATGGCAATTGTTCACATCAAAATTCTTGGACGGAGAGATGATGCCGCGACTCGTGCTGCATTGTTGCCCCATATTACAAGTCGTGCGTGACCAGATCCTAGAAACGTCCTGCCACTGAGCAAAATGGCTGGCAGTTGGGACAAAGGTATTTATGTTCCTGTGTATAATCTTGCTATGCCTGTCCTGCTGCTGTAATTGAACTCACAAAATGTGGTAGTAAAACCGACTGCACAGTGCGGTGACGTTGCCACAAAAATGGTATGCAAGTGCTTTGGTAGGGACTGTACCAATGTAATCAAGGATGTGCAGGAGGACGAGGATAATGAATAACTGGTTGTTTTCGTTTCTGGCGACGTCTCTTGTTATGGTTTCTTTCTTTTTGGTATTAAACTTCTCTGCTTGTTACAAATGTAAAATTTGTCTTGAATCTGATGACAGAACATTCAAGTCACCAGGTGACTGTATGAAACATTTTACCATGCTTCAAAATCCACAAAAAGTGGTACTGTGTGATAGATTTCTCTGAACTGAATTGTTCCAAGTTGGACGTTCGGGGACACCGGAAATTAGTATTACCCACCGGAAATCAATGAAAACTACTTTCAATCGCTTTAAGAGTAATATAGATGCGGGGCGGCATGATAAACAAAAAACAGAATGAACTTTAGATCACGAAAATCTAACCATTATTGGCGGAGATATCCATGGACTCGGTCAGAGGGGTTCCGGTTTCAAAAAGACCCGGAAAATTTGAATCCCGACATTTTTGGATAGTTTGGTCCCAAATCAATCCAAAATAACAAAAAAATCAATTTTAGCATACAAATCCTATGGAATGAAAAATTTGAATCCCAACATTTTTGGATAGTTTAGTCCCAAATCAGCCCAAAATAACAAAAAAATCAATTTTAGCATACAAATCCTATGGAATGACATGTCATACCACATCAGTACCAAACTCAGAAGGAATAATATTATTATTATCACAGAGGATCCCACGGAACAGTTAGACACCAATTCTGTGCATGTACGGGAGATGTGCATTAAAGGAGAATAAATCTGGGCCGAGCAACCGTTGCTATGGAAGTGGTTTAGTCCCCTTAGTTCCCAAATCAGAACGATTTATATGTTCACAGAGTTTCCGAATGAACAGTTTGACACATATTTTGTGATTGTACGGGAAATGTGCATTAAACGTGGATTGAGCGGTGCAGGCCAATAGTGACCTTTGACTTTCCCATAAGTGGATAAATCCCCACAATTGACAACTCTTAAGGAATCTTGTTGTTTCGGGGAATTCTCAGGACCATTTTGACACATGTTTCGTGGATGTACTCGAGATGTGCGATAAAGACCTACAGGGTGCTCCTGGATTACATTGGGCCTCGCAATCCTCGCAAAATTTCATGCTCTGTGTACAGGACTCATTCGGGATAGTTCTATCTGCCTTTAACCTATATACGTACTGAGTGTAAACACATAAGCCGATCGTTTGTTGATAGTGAATTTCTATACATTATTCAGTTGGATTTTGACAGTCCATTAAACTAAAGACTGAGTTTGTAAACGGGAGATATGATAAACTTAATTTACTCTATATATTTTAATGATTGTTCAGTATTTCTTTTAAGAAATTCTGCCGTGTCGAAAGGATACGAAACGTCACAAGGTGTATAACATGAATAGCTTTCGTCTACATAATGAAATGGGATTTAACGCCTGCTTTATACCGACTAGGTAAAAAATAAGGGCCTATATAACGGTATTTAGAGAATAATTAGAATACATATCCAGTTTTACTCACCGATTAATTCGCCCCTAGTTTCCCCTGTTCGACATCATTTATGATCAGACGATAGTAGTGACCCCAAAAGTAATGATCCCCCTTTCATTATGTGCATACAATAAAGCTATTATTAGTTATGAAGCATTCGAATCCCGATGTAGGATGTAAAATATATGGAAGGGTATCGCTGCCAACATTAAATACTCTGCGCCAATGTCTTTTCCATTGATTATATGTAAAAAGTACAATGTACAAAGTCCTAATACCGGTAATGATAAAGTCAAAATAAATCTAAGGCAAGAGTTAAATGTAAAAGTCAAATGTGAAGTGTTAAATGACAAATGTTTTGTGGGAAAATGCTTTTTCTGACTTTTGGACGTGTCTTCATTTTACATTTATCTCATTACATTTTTCATTTGCTCTCTGTCACATCCCATTTGTCCTTCACACATTCTACATAGCATGTTTCGCACAGCATCAACTTTCATATGCAAATGTAGGATATCACGTGACTTATTAACATATACGGAAACCTGGCACACTATAAGCCAGAACAAGGATATTCACGACACTACAACAGGAAATCAGCCTATCACACAATAAAAATTTACTTACCTTGACGCTTTGGGTGGTACTTTACCATGATTTCGGGCGGGGGGGGGGGGCTGTGCAATGTCCAAATACGAAATTCCAGGTATCATGTTCCATATTAGTGAAAAGCAGGTTCATTTCTGTTTGTAAATATGTAAATAGTTTTCTGGTACAATCGTAATTTCATAATTCAAATCCAATAAATATCACACTATTAAAGGGATATTCAAGTAAAAATACTGGTCTAAATACAAAATTCCAGATACCATGTTACGTATCACTGATTGCTCTTTTCAAATATGCAAATAATTTTCTGGCACATTCATATTTGCTTAACTTTACAAAATAAGATTAAAGTTGAAGTGAAGGAAGGGGGGGGGGCTAAACTAAACTAAAATAAAGATACGGGGCTTAATCAAAAATTCTCTATGTCCATACTAAAAAATGTGTAGTCATTCCTCTCTTTAAATATATTATTTATCTGTTGGGCACAATGCTTACAGTGGTATATAGAGCGACCGGAAAGAGTGGGGGTGTTTAAAGTATCAAAATACGGGTGTTAATACGAAATTCCAGTTATTGTGTTATAAATTACTGGAAGGTGTGCTTCTTTGCTGTTTGAATCTATCAATTATTTCCTGGCACATTCATGATTACGCACGGTCGTCTAGATAGTTTCGTTTCTTATGGTGTGCCAGCTTGATTTACTATATCCTTATAGTGTGCTGGTTTATAATGTGCCGGGTTTCCGTATATGTTATGAGTGACGTGATATTGCATATGGAAGTTGATGCTTTGCGAAAGTTGCTATGTAGAAAACATTAGGGACAAATGGGATGTGGCCGAGCGCAAATGTAAAATGTAATAAGAGAAAGGTAAAATGTACATGTAGACACGTCAAAAAAAGCATTTTCCCACAAAACATTTGTCATTTAACACTTAACATTTGACGTTTTATATTTAACTCTTGCCTTAGAGGTATTTTGACTTTATCATTATCGGTATTAGGACTTTGTACATTGTACTTTTTACATATAATCAATGGAAACGGTAAATTTCCCTAAATTAGCCAACTATCACCGACAAAAGAACCGACAAGAGCGGTTTTTGTCAATATCGCCCAAAGTATTGCAAAAAGTGACCAAGAAGGAAAGATTTACACAAATATGCATATTCTTCACATCATATCCAAAATTTAAATTATTTCATATTTAATAAATAGTCAATATATCTAGATATTTGTGATAAAGCAAAATCAATGTTTTGTAAAATACATATACATGTAAATATGGGCATGGATTTAAGGGGGGGGGGGACGCGTCCCCCCTTCCGATTCTAAGGGGGGGGGGGAATAGGTCTCCACATGATGGTGAGCTTGTTTCTACGTATCTGGAACTGAATCCGGACTTGGAACAAGAATTGCCATTCTTCAAGCGCGAGTTTTCGGCCAAATCTATATCACTTGTGCACGAAGCGTTGAAGTGAGGCAGATGTTCCCTTCTGTCGAAGCTCTTCTCATCTCACACTGTTGAACCCTTCTAGTTCGTGCTCAGCCGAGCGATCCTTCAGCACCCTGCGCCGTATCAAAACTTGGCTGCGCAACTCTATGACGCAAAACCGACTGAACCACTTGATGGCGTGTGCGGTGCATAATGACCCCCCTCATGTCGCCAAGATATTCAAAGAGAACAGTCCTGATCGTAGAACGTACGTCTTTGGACCATTTACTTAACTTCATGAACAATTAATATTTATGCAGCTTTGATGTAGGTAGTCAATTTTTCCATATTGTCATCATATTACCCCTAGTTACAGCCTTCATTGAAGTAACACTGGTACAGTAAACGTCTGCTCGTAATTAGGGTTTCACACTGCGTAGCCAGTGTGAAACACTATTGTTTTTGTTCGGATTATTCTTCTTCTTATTATTATTAAGCTTTCATATTACATATGAAAGCTTATTGATTCTGTTAAGATTATTAAGCTTTCATATTACATATGAAAGCTTATTGTTTCTGTTAAGATTATTAAGCTTTCATATTACATATGAAAGCTTATTGTTTCTGTTAAGATTATTATTGTTATTTTTTTTTTGTGTTTTGTCCACAAATCGGATTTCTCAGAATCTAACCATAGGATCGTTCTGAAACTTTTACCTATCCCCCCAAAAATGGGTGGTGGCTGTTGATTAAATATATTTTCAAAACGTTTTACGAATCCGAAATCACCGAATTTTACGAAGGAATGCATTTGACCTACAATGCTGTAACTCTGTGACTATTTGACCTATTTTACTAATTCTTTTTTCTTTGAGTATCTTGAAACCTTTACTTCAAATCTGCAATTTCGGATTTTGGCATTTCGAAAATTCGTCGCTGTCATTTCGAACCGGAAGTTATTACCAATTTGACAACTTCTTTAATAGTTGTGCGATTTTCGTGAAATTTAGAATGTTAGTAGATCTTGCCAATGCGACTTCAATGATGTCCTTGGAAATTTTCTAAATTATCTCCCCTTGGTGAAATTAAGGATCAAAGTTTTCAAAAAAATCGTCGAAATATAGGTCAGAATGACCTAAAAAAAAAATTCGATACTAGACAAGTAATTACTGATTCGTACACAAAATATGGAGTTTGTCGATCGAACCGGAAGTGCCACCATCTTTAAACGTGAAAAATCAAAAAGGCTTTTTTGCTATTTTACTTACAGACTCGGGCGTCATATTTTCGGAATCCTGGAAGGAATACCTAAAAATTTATCGGATCAGAATTTTGATTTCGGTCACGTGATGGTCACCATTTTGAATTGAAAATGAAAAATAGAAGCAATTTGAAGGGCCGGGACTTTGGAACACAAGAACTCTCCTTCTAATTAAGCTAGAATGTTCAAACTTAGTGTAGGCGTTCACTAGGTCAATGTCATGATTGAGTTCAAAGATGAGCATTTTTTGCCTAGGGTAAGCAGAGATAAGCAAGCTGATTTGTTGATTCTTTAGGGCACGATGACATTGGTTATAATGAATGGAGGGCGATGAAACTCTTGTCAATCGAGAGGCTAATAGCTGGCCTGTTGTGTGAAATCATTGTATCATTTTTTATTCGAATTTCTCCTTTGATGTTTTCCGTGCCGACAAGGTTGTTTTCGAGTTTAGCTGGATTTGACTTCGCGCATGCGCTACGCTGGAACCAAAGGTACCATGAGTACTAAATTCCGGCGAGCAACTTTTCACGTTGGTACCTAGGTACCCTGAAAATTTCAAGGTGATACCTGCATTCGTTCATGTCGTTTGTTCTTGTCACCTGCCTTTCGTCGTTTTTTTTCTTACGGCTTCCATGAGGGGAAAAAAGTGGAATTTCGCCGTGACACCGGCACCGATTGTCCGAAAACCATGAAATTTTGACACAATACGTCCATTACCACCCCGGACTCTGTGCCTTACCCCCATTTTGATCCCATTAAAAAAAAGAGTTTTAGCAAAAAAACGATTTTCGGAATTTAATATTGGTTTTAACCCTGTACCCAGACAAGATATAGATATTATTATAATCCCTATGAAATATTTTAATTATTTACTGCTATAATATGAATTATCACTTATTCCCCGTTAAATAAATATCGGTCACCGGGAGCAGCTGTACAACTTCAAGGACCCTGGCTTCAAGTCAATTTACGGCTTCCATGAGGGGAAAAAAGTGGAATTTCGCCGTGACACCGGCACCGATTGTCCGAAAACCATGAAATTTGGACACAATACGTCCATTACCACCCCGGACTCTGTGCCTTACCCCCATTTTGATCCCATTAAAAAAAAAGAGTTTTAGCAAAAAAACGATTTTCGGAATTTAATATTGGTTTTAACCCTGTACCCAGACAAGATATAGATATTATTATAATCCCTATGAAATATTTTAATTATTTACTGCTATAATATGAATTATCACTTATTCCCCGTTAAATAAATATCGGTCACCGGGAGCAGCTGTACAACTTCAAGGACCCTGGCTTCAAGTCAATTTACGGCTTCCATGAGGGGAAAAAAGTGGAATTTCGCCGTGACACCGGCACCGATTGTCCGAAAACCATGAAATTTGGACACAATACGCCCATTACCACCCCGGACCCTGTGCCTTACTCCCATTTTGATCCGATTAAAAAAAAAAAAGTTTTAGCAAAAAAACGATTTTCGGAATTTAATATTGGTTTTAATTAATTTTGAAATTGCAAATGCAAAGAGATTTTATCGCCTCTTCCGTATGTGATAGGTACTGGTACTATACACATTATCCTTAAAAGACAATTTTTTAAAATGACCGTAACGATGTATCGACACTAGAAACCGAAATCGCCTATTTTGACCTTTTTTGACTGCTGAGGCATCCAAATCTCTGGAATTTCTAGCGGTTGGCTGCGCCGCGATGATATTTATCACATACTAAATTGAGAAAAATCCTCAGATATCAAGAACAATAAAAATTCGATAAAATACGGCAATTTTTTAAGCAAAAAACCTTTGATTGTTGGGGGCGGGTTTTGAATTTATTTTGAACG